TAAAAATTTCACGCACCAACGCATGAAAGCTGAATTCGAAACCTTGAAGGGTGAATATCTTTCCGTAATTCTCGGGTTAACAGTTTACCCGCCAAAATTTTCACTAGGCCATAGGTAGTACCCGAGAGCGCGAGAACGCTGAATTTCAATGGGCAAGGTTGAGCGTGGGCAGTGGGTCAATACCCTAAAATTTCAGCCTCTTAGACTCCGTGGTTCCCGAGATATTAACTTACCCGTAAAAAACTTCCACGCGTTAAAAAAAACTTCCACGCGCAAATTTAAATTCAGCTTCCCCGCGGGTACGAGGAAGCTGAATTTAAATTTGCGGGGTCACACGTGGATGGGGAATGTTACCGTAAATTTTCAGCTTACTAGCTTTTGTGGTTCCCGAGTTCAAAGTTGCGGAAAAGTTGCTGCGGTCACACACACACACACACATACACACACACACACACACACACAAACACACACACAGACAACCCGGTGACAATATGCGTTTTGTGCTGCTGTTACACAGCACAAAACGCATAAAAAGCTGCAGAACGCGAGTTAATTATTCGCAGAGGCGAACTTACGGCCTTACGAATTTATATGAGTATCTGATGCGATTTCTTGCTAAAACACATTATTGAAGTTCTTATGCTAGAATCGGTAGTCCAGGCACTTAATCTGAGAATGGCAATTACGACACGTTTCCGAAAACGGCAACAACGATGAAATGTAAGACGACGAAGAAAGAAAACACGGGGCCTCCTCAACGATTGCCTGTTTCTGGTATTTAAAAATTAAAGAAATTATAAAGAAATTAAAACTATAAATCAGTTAAGTTGTTGTAAGAAAATCTTCTTGATCCTAAATAAAAAAATTAAGGTACCTATTGTAAATGATAAATAAGAAGAAATTGATAAGTAATTCGGCAACGATAACAACCCCAGCGATATTAGCACGAGCGCACTGATCGGCCTCATATGTCAGTGGGCATGTGAAAAATAACACCAGTGAATAGATACCAAAAATTAGTAGTAATGAATACAAAACACCACCAATATTAGCCCATTCGTAAGCTCCGCGCGCCTTCAAATGCATCTCACCGCGCCTCCACGAAGCAATCTAAAGTAACTGTAAATGACTAAAAAAATAATCAGAATTAACCAAAAAAGAGGAGAGATTTGGTACTTATCTACGAGATCCTTTACTCATCTACGAGCTCCAGCAGCTGGTTTAGAGTGAAAATGCAGGCCACTGTACTATAACTACTTTAATATGTGGCTTGATCTTTCGGTTGCTTTTGCTAAAGAATCGCGTTGGTTCGTAATAATCCTCATGAACAAACATGAGCAAAATATGCAAAACGGGTATCGCCAGGTCGATTGCGCATCTATACTTCCGATATTGCTAATTATTACTTTACGTTCACAGTGAATATCAAGTAATCATTAGCAATATTAGAAGTAATGAGGGCATTCGTGGACGATCGAAATGACACAGCAGAAAACAGGGATGTGTCTGTACAAAAAAGTCAAGAACTCCGATTTCAAGCCTGCATTAATTTCACTGTTCAACGTGGAGGCTAGCTACTTTGGGCTGAATTTAACAATTCCTCAGAAAATGACAGTTTCCAAGGCAGAAAACCAGCAGAATTATCAATTCGCAATAAATCTAGAACAAACAATTAAGGCCTAACCAGTAAAGTTTTTTTTTCCACTCCCCACTGCCCATATAATAATATCATCCAAGAATCAGCGAAGTCTCTATGAACGAATTCACGAAGGCTTTCCATCATAATAATTTTTGCTAATTTCGTAACTCTCATTTCACGCTTTTCCTTTTGATTCTTCTTATTTCAGTCTTTGTTAATATACCTTTCTATTTCACATATCGTCGAAAGATGAACAAATCTTACCTTACTATTACTGCTACAATCCAATAAACCTGATTTGTATGCGGCGCATGGGGTCTGAAATGTTGCAATATGCCAAAAAAA